TGCGTTATGTATCCGCCTTACTTCCTTCTCGCCTCCTGTGCCATTTCCTTGCCTTTACCATCTCCTTCAGTCAGTCCTAGCCTCTTTCTACGGGCTCTTTTTCTCCGACTGTTTTCTCCTACCCTACTCCGCCCTTTCCCTGCCTCTAATTCTATTTCTTGAGTTGGACTTTCGTTTCCTTTGCTTCTTTCCTTTCATATTTTTCTCTCATACGTCACAATCACACTGCTCTCTTATCCATCACTTCCCCTCTCCTCCCTCCCTCTTGTCTCCTTTTCTCTATCGCTTTCATCCATTCCTCTCCCTCTCCCCCCTCTCTTAGTAAATTCTCCACCACGTCCTGCCACCCCTCTCCATCCCATTTCTTCCATCTCGTACACTCCTCCCATATGTGTTCCCAAGTTTCCTCCTACCTCTCGCATATCCTACACCTTCTATTCTCCTCTTTTTCCCAATGCAATCCTTCCCTTATTTCATTCCCAAGTCTGAACCTTGCGACCCTGCTCCACCTTTCTTCCTCCCAGTTTTTCTCTAGGTATCCTGGAATCCCGTCCTTCCTTATAAATTTATACCACCTGTTGTATTTCGATTCTACGATCTTTTCCATCCTTTCTTGTTTTTGCTTCGCCTTCTCTCTGCCTCCAGATTTTCCACTTCTAACTCTTCCTCCTCTTCAACTCTCACCCCCAGCTCTTCCAGATAACTTTTCCTTTCTTGTTCCCACTTTCCTATTATTTTCCCTCTCTTCCATCTCTTTTTCATTTCTTCTAGGCATTTCCTCGCTATTCCCCCTTCGTTGCCTTCCTCTAATTTCTTTTCGAACTTCCACGCTCTCTTGCTTGCCCTGCCTCTCATCTTCTCTCTCTTCACTTCATCTCTCACCATATATCCGGGTGTCCTCCAGTTTAGCCCAAATATCCATCTGATATATCTTTCGTGTATACTTTCTACCTCCACCCTTTTTTTCCACCCCCACACTTCTGCCCCGTATCCCATCACTGTCCATATCAGAGTATCATACAGCCAGATCCTTCTTCTCCAGTCCTTTTTCCACATTCTTTTCCCTATTCCCCACACTTCCCTCATTACTCTCGCCGCCTTCCTTCTTCTCTCTCTGATATGTGCCTCTTGCTCCCCATTTTCCTTCAGCGTATATCCAAGATATTTAAATTCCTTAACTTCTTCTAGTTTCTTTCCTTTCCATCTCCAATCATACTTCCTCTTTCTTCCTCCTCTTTTTCTGAATCTCATTATTTTTAATTTCTCTATGCTTAATATTAGTCTCTTCTTGTCCAAGTATCCCTCTAGCCTGCTTATCATCGATCTCATGTCCTGTTCTTCTTCTGCCATCAGCGCTATATCGTCCGCATACATTAACGTGTAAATCTTTCCCCCTCTTAACTTCACACCTCCCCATCCTCCTTTCTTCATGTAGTCTTCCAAGTCCGCGATCAGTATGTTAAAGAGTATCGGGCTCAATGGGCATCCTTGCCTCACGCCCTTCGCCATCCAGAATGCACCTCCACACTCTCTTCCTATTCTTACTCTTCGTTTCTCTTAATACCTCTTTAACCCTGTCTATTAAACCCTGCCTCACTCCTCTCTCTATCATCGCTCTAATTAGTACTTCCTTGTCCACTGAGTCAAAGGCCGCCTTCAAATCTATGAAAAACACTGTCATCTTTCCTTTCTCCTTACTTAATTGTCTATTTACCAGATAGTTCAGCGCGAATATTTGGTCCATCGTCCCCATCCCTTTTCTGAATCCTGCCTGGTTATCTGGAATCAAATTCTTTGTCTCAACCTCCTTCCTTAACCTTTCTGCCAATATCGTTGTGTATATCTTGTACATTGATGACATTATCGTTATTCCTCTATAATCCTTCACCCCTCGTCCTTTTCCTTTTTTTATTATTGGGACTATTTCTCCTTCCTTCCATTGTTCCGGCCATCCTTCCCCTCTCCATACTTTTTTACAAATTTCCCATATCCATTTCTCCATTTCTTCTCCTCCATATTTCCACGCCTCGTTTGGTATCTCGTCATTTCCTATCGCCTTTCCTGCTTTTAACTTCTTTATTACATTTCTTACCTCCTCTAACTCTATCTCCTCTTCTCTTTGTCTGCTCCCTCCCCCTTCTCCTTTCACTACCCTATTCTCCATCCCACCCATTAGTTCCATGAAGTACTCTTTCCATTCTTCCATCTTTATCTCTTCATTTATCCTCTTCCTTCTTTTTCTTACTCTGCCTATCAACTCCCACATCTTTCCTTCCGTTTTTGCTTCCCCTATTTCTTTTATCATCCTTTCCTTCTCCTCGCTCTTCTTTCTTTTACACATTTCTCTGTACTCCTTTCTCTCCTCTCTGTACCTTTCCACTTTTCCTCTTTTTTTCCTCCATTTTCTCAGCTCTTTCCTCACCTCTCTTTTCTTCTCCTTACATTCTTCATCCCACCATCCTCTTCCGTTTTTTTTATCCCTTCTTCCTCCCTCTTTTTCATTCTCCTCTATTACCTTTCTTATTCTTGAGATCCCTACTTCTATCTTCTCCTGCACCTCTCCTTCTCCTCCCTCTATCGTTCCTAGTCTCTCCTTAAACTGCGACCTTCCCTCCTCACTCCATATTCCTCTTCTTCTTACTCTTCCTCCTTCTCTTTTTTTCTGATTTTTCTCGAGTTTACCCCTCATCCATAGTGTTACTGGGTGGTGATCTGAGTCCACCCTTTCTCCTACCTCCAGCCTTTCTACCCTTTCTCTAACCTCCTCTTCCCCTATCACGTAGTCTATAACTGTCTCTCTTCTCCCTCCTGTGTACGTAAATTCACCTTCCTCATCTCCCTTCACACCTCCATTTAGTATCATCCAACCTCTTTCCTCTATGAATTCCAATAACTTTCTTCCGTCCCTATTTATTTTCTTGTCTTTTGATCTTCTCCCTCCACCTTCCACTCCCTCCTCGTCCTCCTCTTCCCAACCTCTTTCCTCCCCCGTTCTCGCATTGAAATCCCCACCTATTATAGTTCTTACTCCCCTTTTTCCCTCCTCCGTCGTATCTTTCAGCCCTTCTAGCTTCCTGTCTATATCATTATTCACATAAAGTCCTATTATTCTCCATATTTCCTCTCCTATCCTTATCTTACATTCGATCTTTCCTTCCTCTTCCTCTAACTTTCCTTCTTCCTTTATCTCTTCTATTTTCTTCCGTATTCCTAGCAGCATACCCCCACTTGCTCTTCCTTTCTTGTACTTCCTGGTCGCTATCTGCACTCTCAATTTGTATTCTCTTGGGATCTTCTTTTTCATCTTTTCCCACCCCTTCTCATCTAACCATGTCTCCATCATTATCACTACATCCCATTCCTTTATCGCTTCCCAGAATTCTTTATCCTTGTTTGCTATGCCCGCCACATTCCAGAAAGCCACCTTCCACATTTCCTCCTCCCTCCTGATTTTTTTTTCTCTCTCTCTCCATTTTCGGTATCCTCCTCTCCATCCCCTCCTCCCAAGTTCTCTTCTTCATTCTCATTTTTGCCTTCTTTGTCTTTCTCGTCTCCCGCTTCCTTATTACCTCCATCTTCCTCCTCTCTTAGTTTTCCCTTTTTTCCTTCCACACATTTCCTTCGTTATCTTTTAATATCTCTTCATCTTCCTCCCGTTTCTACCATTTTCCTTCTAGTTGTATCTTTCCATATCCAATCTTTACTCTCTTACCATTTCCTCTTTCTCGCCTTGCAATGTCTTCTATATTCCATCTCATCTTTCTCTTCTTCCATGTCAAGTCATCTATTCCTATCCCTTTCTCTCTTAGTCTTCCTCTCTCCATCATGACCTTTCTTTTTTGTTCCAGTCCCTGTAAGCCTATTATTGCCATTCTTATACCTCCTTCTCTTTTGTCCTCTATGACCTTTTTACAACTTACCTCCGTCTCTATTCCGATCCCCATCAGTATTTCTTTCACCTCCCTTTCTATATCGTTCCTCTTTCCTTTTGTTCCTCTTATGACTATGTTTTTTCTTCTTTCTTCTCTCTCTCTCATCTCTTATTTCTTATCTATTTCTTTTAGTTTTCTCTCAAATCCCTTCTCTCCTGCGTCTTCTTCTTTTCTTATTCCCTTCTCTTTCATTTCCGTTATCGTCTTCTCCATTTCGATTATTCTCTTCTCCATCTTCTCTCTCTCTTTCATCCATTTTTCCTTTCTCTCTTCCATGGTTCTTTTTAAGTCTTCCATCTCTTGTCTTATCTCTCTCTTTTGTTCCCTTATTATCTCCAGCATCTCCTTTATGCCTTCTCTCATCTCGGATTTTATTTCCTTTTTTATCTCCTCTATCCAGCTTCTTTCATCTCCTGTATTTTCCTTATCATCTATTTTCTTCGGTGATCTCTGTACTTTCTTACTCCTGTTAAAAGCCCATTTTTCGGATTCCCTGCTTTCTGTTTCCCTTTTCTTTCTCTTTGATTCTATACTGCCTGTACTTCCTCTTCTCTCCCCTTTTCCCTTCTCCTGATCTTCCCCAATTAACTCTATCAATCTTGCTACTTTTCCTTCATCCTCCGCCATTTTCCTTCAGCTATACCTATCTGCCCTGCTCTCCTATTCCTCTATGAGTTTCCCTTCTATGTTCGAACTTGCCTATGCCCCCACGCGTGTCGCCGCGACAGCGCGACTGCCCCTCTCCTCTGTTTTATTCTATGCCTACTTAACCGACCGTGTTCTACTGTCACTTTTCCTTCTCCGTATCTAACCCTATCCTTTCCCTTTGACCTGCGTCCACTCACACACTCTCTCTCGCTCCTCTACTTCTCTCTCTCACCCACTCACCACCCTCTCACATACCCTCTCACACTCTTCCTTCTCTGGTTTTCTTCTCGTCACTCAAACACGTGTCACTCACGTAGGTCTAATAGAATATATATTAATATTCCGAATAACAACCAAACTTTTGTACTATGTAATTGCACTTTTCCAAACTGTGCAACTGGTTTTGTAACATTGAGGTATTTACTTTTTCTCTAGAAGTTTATCCAGTTTTGCCAACATTTTGTTTCCCATTTCCATCCTTTCTTTGTGTCTCTTTGCTTTTTCTTTTTCAGCTTTTTGGCGCTTTTCTGTTAGTGTTTGTATGATGGCTGGTTGATCAGTGGCTTTACGTTTACCTAAAAGTAAAAATTTTTTATATTTTACTGTAATGTCTAAAGGCTGATTTATAAAGGCTGTAACCATTAATTAAAATGTAAGCTCTAAGAAATTGACCAATCACAGTCTAATGTGAGGAGAATAATCGACTGTGATTAGAAAATTTTTTAGGGCTTACAGATTAAATCAACATTAATTCAATATTCAATTTTCAATGAGTAATATAGTCTCTTACGAGGAGCTTCACCGGATTCACAGGTAGAGACACTACTGCTGCTACTACCTCGAGAGTCCGGCCTTTCAGGCCTCGATGTTACGGATTCACTTGACGAAATGGTTGTCAACGGTTCCATAAATGGTTTTCGGCTAAGAAGACTTTCCATGGCCTAAACAGGCAATATTGCATTAAGAGTAATAAGAGCATATGTGCGTAATAGTTAGGTAAAGCAAAAGTTAATATTTATTGTAATAAATCAAGTAATACTTACGTCATAATATTTCCAAGTGCGCTTATTGTTACCAGATCTTCCGTTATGATCTTTGACCGTTTTATATGTTCGCTTCATTGTATTAATCCTTGTCATGCATTGTTTACCCGAGACATCATATCCTTTAACATTCATTACTCGCGCAATTTCATCCCATGCTTTCTTATAACTCATTTTTCCAGAAGACATGGAAGATTCTCGCAGTCTGTATTCTTCCAATAACAGCATAATTACCGCATGAGACTATCTGAAATCTGCAATGTAAACCAAACATTACAATGTAAAGTAATAACATTTTTAAAAAATGCGATTACAATTTATATTGTCAAATTTCCTTACTTTCTTTATTTTCCGTCAATGACGTTTCTTCTATCTCATCCTCTTCCATTTCTCTTTCTTCATTAGTTGACATGTCTATATTATCTACAAAAACAATGCATATAATTAATTTAAAAAAATTACCTTACAATGTAAAAGAGACGCAAAACTAAATTACATACCAAATACTTCCTTCAATGAAGTATTACTTGAGGAGGTGGACTGCACATGTTCAGATGTTTCTAAGAAATAATTTTTTTAAATAGAAATAATCTATTTTGCACTAATTGTTTCATATAGGCATTAAGCAGTATTTCATATAGGCATTAACATAAACCATATATTATTACCGATTGTAGAACAATTCTTATCCTCACATGCATTGTTTTGAACACATGCTTGACGTGCAACATTTAATAAAAGTGTCACAAAACTCAAATCTGTAGGTAATCAAGTAACAATAACATTAAAACAAAAAGATTATTTAAAATATATTCAAAAAGAATCTCCCTTATTCTGTAACTTATAATAATAATTGTCATCGTTACTGTTCATTGTGCAACTATTGTGCGATACATTTTTTCTACACAAAAATTGTGACTTATTAAAATATTTTTATTTCAACGGGCGTTTTTACGAGCAAATTTTCGGTAGTCCGATGGGATCTCCCTTCTCCCCAATTTTCGCGGATCTAGTTATGGATGATCTAGAAACACATTGTCTGCAGTCGCTCAGTTTTATTGTAACATTCTATCGTAGATACGTGGATGATATTTTTGCGGTAGTCCCTAAGTCGAAAATTGATAAGCTCCTCACGACATTCAATAACTATCACTCTAGATTAAAATTTACGTATGAAATAGAATCAAATTGTGCATTAAATTTCTTGGACACCACAGTGATTCGAGAAAAGAATACATTGATAACGAATTGGTACAGAAAACCAACGTTCTCGGGACGTTACGTCAATTATTTCTCGAATCATCCGTTTAAATATAAAATCAACATTATAAGGAATTTAGTGGATAGGGCGATTTTACTCTCGGATAATCGGTTTCACTCTAATAACATTTCAACAGTTAAAAAAATACTTTTAAACAACTGTTTTCCGATTGATGTCGTCAATAAATACATTAATGTCCGTCGAGGCGAGCTAACAAAAAAATTGAATAATCCGATTGATGAGAGTGCAGACTTGCAAGCGCGGGGAGATCCTGTCAATTGTGTAACGATACCGTATGTCGAAGGCCTTAGTGCGAATATTGAGCGTACAATGAGGGAAAGTGCTGTAAGAGGTGTCAAATTTAAAACGCTTTTAACTATTCCGAGGAAACTAGATTGTGTAATTAAGAAAGGGAAGGACAAATTACAACCTTACAGGCAGACTAATATTGTATATAAGTTAGATTGTGTTAATTGTGACTCTTGTTACGTCGGACAAACAAAGAGACACCTAGAGACTTGCATAAAAGAACACCGGAGCGATGTCAAAAAGCACGTAGATAATCATTCGGTTGTAATTAAACACCGTCTCACTCAAAACCACGATTTTGATTGGCAAAATCCGAAAATCCTGTATAGCGAGAGACATTTCAGAAAAAGAGAGATTTCTGAAATGTTTTTCAATAAAAAGAATAAATACACTGTAAACCTCCAAAAGGATACGGAGAATTTGCCCGCGATATACGATCGTGTTATTGAAGCAGTATAATAAGTGATAGAGTCGGATCTGTTTCTATTGTATTGTTTATGATCTGGTTTGTTATTCCTTATTTTCGGAACACGTCTTATTGTAATTGGCATTTATCATTGTGACTTTGAATATGGCACGGAATCGAGCCAGTGGAGAAAATGGACAGTCCGTTTTTCTTCGGAATTTGCGTGGCGGCTCTCGGAAATTTGTTATTTTGTTCTTTTGACGCACTTAATATGTAAGTTCTCACGATGTACTTGCGATATGTCTCCCACTTTTTCATAATTTATATCTGACATACTTATATTGACAATTTGTTCGTTCTAGCGTGGCGTTTGCATGATGTGGTTTGGGCGCAACGTCTTGCGACGCATGATATTATTGCGTAATTATGTATAATCTCACTTGAGAAGGACCCAATCGGGGTCGAAACGTTGTGAGACGAATGAATAAATAGAAATTGGCCAGTTGGGTCGCTTAATCTCGATTATCATTAAAATATGTTACAGAATAGGTCCACAGGAAATTAATGCAAAAAAGATAAAGAGAAGGCATTTCAAAATTAAATCATTAATGTGATAAAAGCCAAAACTATATTAAATTAGTTGCATTCCCGGGAAAAAATGATTAGATATAATCATATATAATTATATCTGGTATATATATAATTATATATGTTTTTATGTGGGGTCATATCTAATTATACATGGCCACATGTGCAATCAGTGGTCCCACATACAACCAGATATAGCACCATATCTACTTGTATATAAATGTATATAATTTTATGTGAAGCCAGATATAATGATATGTGAGTAGTGCACTCTACATATAACTAGATATAGTATTATATACAACAATATATGCAGTCATATATAGCCAGATATATTAATGTGACTAATCTGGCGCTATATACAACCAAATATAGCACCATATCTAATCGTATATAAATGTATGTGAAGCTAGATATGATGATATATGAGTACTGCACCCGACATATAACTAGATATAGTATTATATACAACTATACAAGTAAAATTTTTAAGAAAAATTTATATGCAGTCATATATAGCCAGATATATTAATGTGACTAATCTTGTCCTATGTACTGCGACGCTTTTTCCCCCGGTCTCGCAATCCGGTGGAAGGCTATCGAGGACTGGCAGCACGCACAACTAATTCCGACACCAAAAGATTGGGCGCCAGGTGCGACGGATCGCACCACCGTACTCTAATATGTCCGACGCGATATTCCCGGCAATACCTCAGGGCGTAGGGCTCTTTCAGGGAATTCGGAGAGAGGCGTCACGCAATTAATCACACTCACAAGAAAATAAATAATAATAACAAAATATATATTTAGTCAGGCAGTATCAAGATGTATAATCGATCTGAGTCTCGTATTACCGCAACAATGCAGGCGAGGCGTACGCACGAATGCCGCATACGCAATAAGGGCACGCAGTAATGTCGACCATGAAACACCGTAGACTAATGCACGCGAAGTTCTCAACGCAACAGATAAACGCAGACGGACACACGAAAGCTTAACAGAAATAATGACGATTCAGGTATCGCGGTACCTGGCTTCAACACAATGAATTTACGCCACGAGGCCGACGAGTCGCTCGCCGCACCCTCCGCGGCTCCTTCAACGCACACCCGGGCCACTTCGATTCCGCGCGACGCAAAAAGTATGGGCGATCTCGCCGAGTCGACCACGCTGGCCGGCGATTGCCCCCGAACACGAAATAAGGACTCGTATCGCGGACGATCCCGCGGCTTGCCACGCGAATCCCGAATTCTCTCGCAAGCACGGAGATTCCGCGGCCCCGCACCGATCCCGCCGATCTCTTCGTCCCGCCAAACCAATATTCGCTGTCCTCGAGGGCCCGGATGCGTTACTCAAATACGAGGGCGAGTGCCCTTCAAATTACATGACCACTCGCGGCTCGCCGTTACCCGCACAACTCGCTCCCGTTATCGCCACGCAAGACCTCACTCTCATTATCACTCTCGTTAATATGGCCAGGACGCGACACGATTACGAGCTCAAATAATATGGCCAAAACGCGATACGATCACGGACATAAACTCTAGCACAATGAAACGCGACACAATCACGAATAACGCGATACGATTATTTACATTAATTTGACGAAACGCTACATAAACGCGACACGATTATCCCGATTCACCCATCCCAACGCCACGCGACTGTCGGCCGTGGCGGTGCTCGCGGGGAGGGCGCAAATGGTCTCTACGCATTCGAGAGCTCCCTCTCGGCAAGGCCCTGGCACTTTTTCCACACGACTCTACTTCAAGGCGAGCGCAAGGTATCGCACGCTCTAACGCGGTACACAGGTATCCTGCGTAACTTCGGTAACCAACGTGTGCCACGGGCCGATGCCTCGAGCGAACCCTCTTCTCTTAACGCGGGGACGCCAGAGTGGTGACCTTACAATGCGTCGTCCCTTCGGTAGTCCGGGCAGCTCGAAATCCGGGAGATCCTCTAGGCTCGCTAGCCGGCACGACAGTGTCGGGAACGATAGCCTGCCGGGATCGCGCCGGTTCCCCGCGCCTGCGCTGTCGCGTGTCGCTCGACCGGATTGCCGATCCTAGCGCTTCCTGCGCCTAGGCCGCACGTGCGCCGCTCCTTCCGGGGGCGCCACTCCATTCCAGGGCGCTTTCGTCGGCGCCTCAGCTTCTCGCGCGCCTCCCTTTCCGGCGACGCCGCTGCAATCACCTCCGATTCGGCGCGGGCTATTCGATTCACCCGGCTGTCCGGGCCGCGATGATCGGGTCGGCGTTCGGGGTCAGGCTGGCCGGGCCTCGGCCCCGTCTGCCGGCATCCCCCTCGGGGTGACGGCCCCAGGGCGGTACCTTTCCCTGGGCCGCTCCTCTGCACCCTTGTGCCACTGGCATTTCGCTCGTGGGTGATCTGGGGTCCTCCTGATCGATATACTGCCGCTGTTACGACCGAGTGCGGGGTGAATTCCGGCCGGCGACGCTCATGCGCTTGCGGGGAGGTCCGGGCGATCCGACTTCCAGCCATGTCCCCTGGCCGTCTCTTTAATCCTCTGCCCTTCCTCGTTGCGGCCCCCGGCCGTTACAGCTGAAGTCCGGTCACCACCGGCGATCCCTTAAAAACTTAATACCTAATTAGACCAATTACTATACGCAAGCGCCCTCCTCTCGCCCCAACGAGGAGGCACCCCCGAATTCCCCTCGGCCGAGCCCGTCCGGGAAGGAGACGCGACTTGTCACGTCACAGTACAACCAGATATAGCACCATATCTAATCGTATATAAATGTATGTGAAGCCAGATATAATAATATATGAGTAGTGCACCCTACATATAACTAGATATAGCATTATATACAACTATATATGAAGTCAT